GATTGGGAGAGGTCATGGCCTTCATGTATCTTGCATTGAATGCAATGTGAGAAACAGCAGACCCTACCCCAATCCAGATGCACCGCCACTTCTCCGAGCGTACATCCAGATGCATCCCTTTCCAATACACAGGCGTGGATTTCGCTGGTCCGTTTGTCCTGACAGGAACACCGGAAAAGAAAGTATGGATATGCTTGTTTGAATGCATGTCCACCAGACTCGTCTATCTGACCATGGCCAATTCCATCAGTACCATCGAATTCCTGCGCTGCCTCAGACGCTTCACAAATCGACGAGGACATCCAGTCAAGATGTGGAGCGACAATGGTACAAACTTCAGGAAAGCGGACAAGGTACTCAGCGCCATCGGAATACAGGAGACCGAGAACCAGGACGCCATTGTTGATGCAGAGGATGCGGTGGAGCTGTGTAGCGGAGATTGTCTCGAATTCTTCGGTAAAACGGGAATTCAATGGATTTTCAACGCTCCAGCTGCACCGTGGCAGTCCGGACACGCTGAGAGGATGATCCAGATCGTCAAGCGAAGGCTTGATTCCATCTCCAGTTCCAACAAATTTGATCCGGAAGAATTTTCTACAATTCTTACAGACATCGAGTTCAGTGTGAACAACCGTCCGCTTGTATTCCTATCCGCAGATGAGGAAATTGTGTCGCTTAGACCAATTGACTTCGTCTCGCCTGGGATACGCGGTACCAAACAGTTCTACGATCCCAAGTTGGAAGACGATCCTGAGTTCGAAATCAGGATCAACCCGACGGACGAAAAGGTCACGGAATGGTTCAAGCACTACAACCAGCAGCTCAACAAAATTTGGAGGGACTACGATCTATTTTATCTCCCCAGCGTCCGCGACAAGAACAAATACAGATCTGCTATGAACCGTTCATCTGCAACTCTGGCTCCCAAACTTGGCGAGGTTGTGATGTTGATCGAGCCTCACGGCATCCGAGGGAACTATCCTATCGGCCAGATCACAGAACTACTCCCAGGAAAGGATGGCGAGATCCGGAACGTCAAGATCAAGCTATTCAAATCAGGACGCATCTTTGTTCGCGCCGTCTCTACGATCATCAAGATCGCAGACAACATCCAGAAAATAGACCGCAAGGTTTTATTTCAGGGCAACAACATCGCCCCGCTTTCGGACCAAGACAAGGTTTATGTTCTGTCCGCAGACGCCGAAAGCACAGACAACACATTCAGTGACTCTTCGGAGTCTGATTGAACTTTTATTTGCCTTACCTCCAGTTGCTTTCAGCCTCTTTGCCTCGTGCACAGAGCCATTTTTATTTTTGCTTACCTCCAGTGAGTTTTAGGTATCACAAACAGCCACTTTCCCTTTTTGCATTACATCCAGTTGCTTTACCGACGAGGGCTTCGTGGGATTTTTTCACATTCCCCCAGCCCCGCCGAACTTCGCCTTCCCCCCAGACTCGGCCCACTACTGCCGCCGCGAAGCTGTCGCCAAATGCTCTTCACAAGACAAGTGGTCAAGCTGGCGCATCTTCTCCAACTTCTCTTCGTCAAGTTCGTCAGCAGCAGTCAAACGAAAAGTACGTTCCCTTTCCCCAATTAACTGATAGGAGTGCGGGCTCCTTAGCATCAGTTAATTCCGTTCCCGTTTTATCTGTCCCCTACCCCCAGTTCGGCCCCTCCCCTAGGAAATAACCTTATTTTCTTCCCACCCGCTCCCCAGGCACATTGCCTTTTGCTACCCGATCCGCCCAGCACCCTCTTTACTCTAACCAGTTACGGTTAGGCTCCCCCTACCTTGTATCCCATGGTTGTAGAGTATCTGCCTTTTTTTCGCTGGGCCCCAGGTCCCACTTGCCCTCTCTCGGTTTCCCTTTGCAATCTCACGCCTTCCAGTCCCATACTAGACTGAACCGAGTCCCTGTATCGCCCAAGTCGTGATCACCAGACTGGTGTTATCGATGTAAGCACTAACCAGTCCTTCCTCGGTTCAGACCCTAGTCGCTCTGATACCTCGCGGTTGACGAGCATTCCACAAGGCGCGGCCTCTCGGTTCTTTCTGGGCCGGGAGTGTCGAAAGTTCTGTACTAAGTACAGGACTTACGAGATTTATTCGCATTGGGCGCCTTGGGGGTGGCTTGCTATCCCGTGCCCCTCGCCCCGCCGGCTACGGTAGGCAGAGAGGGCCCCCAAAAGGGCGCCGAATTATGGCCGATTAACCGTCAACCTCTTCCCGAAAGGGCGTCGTTGCCGCCAGTCGCTGCGCGACTGGTTTGGTTGATTTGGTAGGACTTTCGGCTTCTGCCGTGTCCGAAGCCCGATTGGAGTGGCAGAATTACTCTTACAACCAGCCCTTCTCTTCCTATTGAGACTTAACCGTTTCTGTCTTACAAACAGTGCTTCTACTCGGATCTTGTGTATCTCTTCCCAGTGTCGCCTTTTCTGTACTAATAAACCTTTTGTCTATAACAAGTGTTCTCTTATTGGTAATCGCATTGGATCTCATTCATGGTCTGTTGGTGGACATTCGTCTTGGCGTATATTACACAGACCCCCCGCTGAAACCGATGATCCCCCGTGTATGGGAGTAAGCAGGTCATCGTTAAGGGGATAGGTGGCAAATCCCTCGCGTGGGCATTATTGGGATTTATTCCTAATAGTGCGGGATTGCTATTCCTTTTCGACAAAAACAGCGTAAAAAATTTATTAATAAAAAGTGGACTTATGCACAATTTGGGCATGCCGCATCGTCAGGCAAGGCGGGCCGTCGCTTCGGATGGGCTGCCGCTCCACTCTTTCAAAATCGGGGCGCCTGGGCGCTTCGCGCTCCTCGGGCGCCCCGATTTCGAAACCCTGTACGAGCTCGCACCCATCCGAAGCGACTAGGCCCCGGGTGGCACGAAGCCTTATTTTTAGGCTCAAACTGGGTAGCTGAAACTCTAACTCTTAACAAACGTTTAGATAATGATGTTTTACTACTCTGATTTTGTTATATTCGGAACCAGCACAAAAAAACTAGCCTAGAAAGACTCAAAAAGTCGAAAACCAAAGTGGCCCCCCCAACTTGATAAGTACCTAACACTTTTTTCAATAACTCCATGCAGGGGAGGGGATTGTATTAGCGGGAGAGATATATTTTTCGTAAATTTGAACAGTTACAACGATTTCAGGGTTCTGTACTGTTAGCGGGGGGAGGGATTTTTAGCAGGGGAAAACTACTTGGTGTTTTTCCACCTATACCTAGTGTTCCGATATATTATGTATTTTATAAAGTTTGTAATAGCGTTTGATTGCTAAAAAAGTTCTAAAAATATTCATAAAAATGTTGAAAATTCGAAAATTTGGCCTTTTCGGTCATTTTCATACATTTTCTACCAAAAGGAAAAAATTTTCAAAAATTTTTAGTATGTTGTGGTTTGTTTTTATATCCAAAAATTATTTAAGGTGCTATAAAAACAGTTTCTATTTTGTTAAAGGGCCGTAGAGAACCACAGGGAAAAGTTAGTCGCTCCCCGCTAACAGTCCAGAACCATTTTTAGCCGCTCAAATGACTCACAACCACTCCAGCGGCACAGCACGAATCTTAAAAATAAACAATGTTGGAATTTTTTGCTTCTTAAAAGCAACCTCGGAATAACCTTTTTGGTTGGTTATATTAGAGGAAATACGGTATGTACAGGGTGTCCCAAATAAAAAGGTCACGCTGGCATTTTGCTATTTCAAATCCGACCGAATTGAAATTTTGCCCAGAGGTGCGGAAGGGAATTTAAAATGTTCACAGAAACTTTCAGCCCGATCGGTACAGTAGTTTTCGAGTTATTGTAAAAATACTGTTTTTCCCACACTTTAGCTTCATTTTTTCGGCTATTTTTTTGGACTTTGCAACAATTAACATAAATTTTCGGCTCTAAATCCCTTATTCTTCTGAACATCGGCGTCGTTAGCCCTTGTTAAAAATCGACTTAAATAGCCTATTTTTGACCCGAATTTTGCGAAACAAAAAATTCCTAGGATAAAAAAGGGTCGGCGCTTCATTTTCTCCCTACATTCCAGGGCTCAATTCCGGCGGAATCCAGGTGAAAAACGTAAAATAAAGTTTATTTTTGCTATAACTCGAAAACTACTGCACCGATCGGGCTGAAAGTTTCTGTGAACATTTTGAATTCCCTTCCGCACCTCTGTGCAAAATTTCAGGTCGATCGGATTTGAAATAGCAAAATGCCAGCGTGACCTTTTTTATTGGGACACCCTGTATTATGATAAACAATGAAGGGTATGAGAGGGATATATCATATATGCACTGGCAGATGGGCCCCCTGCTATCTTTTGCAGAGCGTTGCGTTCTCTGTTTCTCCCTCATTCGCCCATTCTCTCTGTTGCAGGGCACGCCCCCGTGACCTAGCTAGTGCCTAGACTGGTTTCTTCTCAAGGCGGACATTACGACATGGAAATGGGGGCATCTGTGCGCAAAACAGAATCACCTACAAAATGCCGATTTTACATAATACTGATTTACCGAATTCTCATAGTACCTATTTACAGAATGCCGATTTTACAGAATACCGATTCTCATAATGCCGATCTGCAGAATGCCCATCCCTATAATGTCGTGTTTGTGGTGCAATTTTTAGAATGGGATTTCGACAAAATGATATTTCGACAAACTGACAGCAAATCGCCGGCATATCGCTGTAATTGTTGCTGACAGACGGATTTTTCGAAGCATTTATCGGGTTAAAAGTAACATTTTTCAAACTCAGACCTTTATTCAGAAAGTGACACGGGGCACGGAAACCGGTAGAATTAGAAAAATATAAAACAAAAAAAAAAAATAGGCAAATAGAAGTTCGTTGCATAGAGGAACGAGGCATCGGAACGAGGCAAGCAGGCATTTTTGGCAGAGCAATTCGGGAATCTGGAATTTCAAAGTTTGCAGGTAGGTAGAAGGCGTCGAGAGAGTCGGGCTGTGCATCATGATCATCGGCGAGTAACCGCTCGGCGTTTAGTGGAGCTCCCTGGAAAATTTAAGTTTTATTAAAGCTAATCAAGCAAAAGCTTAGTTTGCTGCGATTTTCATTTAGGCAGATTCTTTAGGAATCTGTTTCTGATGGCAAGCTAGCAGAGATTCTTTGGGGAACTCTAGGTCAGATAGGAGGGTATCAGTGGATTTCAAGGCTTAGTCAGGCTAGCAGAGATGCTTTAGGAAACTCGAGGCCAGAGTGGAAGGAACAATAGAATTAAAGATTTTTCTAGGGGCAGGCTAGCAGTGATCCTTTTGGGAATTTTGAAGTTGAGCGGAGAGACTAGCGAGACTTGAGCGGCCTTTGTTGGGTTCTGATGGCGATCTAGCATAGATTCTTTGCGTCTCGAATTCCGATTTTTCACGATTTCTGACAAAGCTAAAACGTTTTTTGAAACCCACGTGAGCTTCAAGTCTCCGTTGGAATAAGCACGAATTAGGAATTCGGCTTCTTGGTACGGCTCGAAGGTCGAGGGGACGATGAGGTACTCACCGGGTGGGGCGCGGAATCGCACTGTCACCTGGAAGAAGATATTCGATGGAATATTGTTCATTTAATTTTAAGTTTAACTGGGTTCAATTCTTCTAAATTTAATACATCTTAATTGATTTACAACGCTACTAACCTCTCGCATATTGGTGAACGCGGGCACCTGGTGAGCGACTTGGTGGTGCGGAAGAATTGCTCGTTCTGCTTGGCGCCGCTGCCGGCTGGCGCCTGAAAGAGTTTACCAGTTAAAATGTTGAAATTTAAGCTGAACAGCTAATTTCAACAATTGAAAACTCTAAAAAATGAAAATCTGCAAAACCTTTTTGATCTTTGACAAAAGCTAGTGGTTTTTTAGCTTTTCGTTTTTTTCGTTTGCCCGTTATTTGGACCCCCCATCAACAAATTGGCAAGTAGCCAACAGGGCAGAGAAGCGCCCTGGGAAGAACGCAGGGCATTTTCTTTCCAGCGCGTAACCGATTGACTATGCCGTCGGCATCCCTTTAAAGGGATGCCGACGGCATAGTCAATCGATTACGCGCTGAAAAAATAATGTCTCTGCGCCTCTCCCCAGGGCGCGCTCGCCCTGTTAGCTACTCGCCAATTTGTTGACGAGGGGGATCGACACATGTAGTCAATAGCCCTTTAAGAGCAAGAAAATCAAGTTTGCCCTCTACCGGATCGATGCTTGGCATTTCTGCGGGAACATAGCTGTCCGAAGTAGACGACTTCAAATTCAATCCACCATTCACTTTCCTAAAAAGCAATATTCATGGCGCGCAACAAGCGAACATTATAATAAAAGCCCCCAGCCAAAATCTTACGGAATTTTGGGCGCCTTTTCAGCACCATCTTTCGGGACCCGTTGGACTATAAGGTCCGCATTTCTGGGTATCACTCTCCTCGCTGGAGTTAGCTACGGCTGTGTCGGACGTTCTATAAAAGTAATCTTCGATTAAAGCCAAGAACAACGAACCGCCAGCGCCAAATCGAACGACTCGGATTTGATGTTCTCATTGGTCGTAGATTTCGCGTTTCAGGTCAGGAGCAAAGGATATGGAGACCCTCAAATCGAACCTAAAATCAAATTGAAGTGAAAGCGGAAGATGAGCTCACCGTTTTCGATTCGACACTCGCACGAAATTTGTAGTGTATTGAAGACATCCGGACTGATGATTTGAGTCCAGTTTCCTGAAATGACATCCAAATAATCCGTATCAAAAGCAGATGCACCACGATCAACTATAATAATTTTGCTGTGGTGTCTGTCCGTCTGTCTGTCTGTGCGTCATGTCCCAGATTCAATCGAAGGGGAAAGGGAGCTAGAGCTTAGCTCTCTTCGGATTCGGATAGAGCATGGTCAGAAACCCCCAAACTGATAAAAAAATTATGAAAAAGTTTTAATTTAAATTATTAAAATTAACTTTGAAAGTTTTTTCCTTAGTAAAAGGGGTGGGGGACGTAGGTTGGAGTGATTTTGGGCATAGTGAGCCAGGTCGCGCGCGTTTCGTGGTTGAAAATTTTCACGGGGGATTTCATTTCTTTTTTTCTCTCATTCCATCCGGTCGGTCGTTATTTTCGTTTTTTAAAGGATTTCGGCTAGGGGAGGTATCGTAAAGCCATCAGGAAGGTATTTAGGTAGTTTTTGAAGGGGATTTCGGCTAGGGGAGGTATCTTAAGCCATCGGGAAGGTATCTAGGTAGTTTTTGAAGGGGATTTCGGCCAGGGGAGGTATCTTAAGCCATCGGGGAAGGTATCTAGGTAGTTTTGAAGGGGATTTCGGCTAGGGAGGTATCTTAAGCCATCGGGAAGGTATCTGGTAGTTTTGAAGGGGATTTCGGCTAGGGAGGTATCTTAAGCCATCGGGAAGGTATCTAGGTAGTTTTGAAGGGATTTCAGCCATGTGGGGTATCTGAAGCCATCGGGAATGTATTTAGGTAGTTTTTGAAGGGGATTTCAGCCATGGGGGGTATCTGAGGCCATCGGGAATGTATTTAGGTAGTTTTGAAGGGATTTCAGCCATGTGGGGGTATCTGAAGCCATCGGGAATGTATTTAGGTAGTTTTGAAGGAGTTTCAGCCATGGGGGTATCTGAGGCCATCGGGAATGTATTTAGGTAGTTTTTGAGGGGGATTTCGGCTAGGGGAGGTAACTTAAGCCATCAGGAAGGTATTTAGGTAGTTTTTGAAGGGATTTCAGCCATGGGGGGTATCTGATGCCATCAGGAAGGTATTTAGGTAGTTTTTGAACGGGGTTTCCGCTATCGGCGGCATTGATGGAGGTGGGAATGGATGTGGTGGAGTGGGACATGTAGGGTAGCCCGAAGGCCAGATGGTTGCAGTCGCGTAGCGACTGTAACCATCTGGTAATGAATAATGCGTTCGAAAGCCTGGGCAGGTGATTGCCTCCGGGAATCAATATACGAAAACCGGATCCACGGCAACGAGAGAAAGGGAGTAGAAAGGCGCGGGAGTGGCGCAAACAGGCCGGGGTGGGGCGCCCTATAAATGTGCAACCCCGGATGCTCCAACGAAAAGTGTCTTTTTTCTCATCGTATCATCAACTATAATAATTTTCTTGACGCGTGTCCGTCCGTCTGAAGCCGAATTCAACTCGAAGGGGAAAGGAGCTAGAGCTTAGCTCTCTTCGGATTCGGATAGAGCATGCTCGGAGCCCCCCCAAACTGATAAAAAAATTATGAAAAACTTTTAGTTTAAATTATTAAAATCAACTATAATAATTTTCTTGACGCGTCTGTCCGTCCGTCTGAAGCCGAATTCAACTCGAAGGGAAAGGAGCTAGAGCTTGGCTCTCTTCCAGGTTCGGATAGGGCGTGCTCGGAAACCCCCAAACTGATAAAAAAATTATGAAAAACTTTTAGTTTAAATTATTAAAATTCACTTTGAAAGTTTTTCCTTAGTAAAAGGGGAGGGATGGAGGTTGGGGGTGATTTTGTACATGGTGAGCCAGGTGGCGTGCGTTCCCTGGATGAAAATTTTCCACGGGAGCCATTTCATTTCTATTTTCTCCCACGTATCCGGTCGGTCGTTATTTTGTTTTTTTAAGGGGCATTCGCCTGGGGAGGTATCTAAAGCCATCAGGGAAGGTATTTAGGTAGTTTTGAAGGGGGTTTCAGCCATGTGGGGTATCTGAAGCCATCAGGAGGGTATTTAGGTAGTTTTTGAAGGGGCTTCAGCCATGGGGGTATGGGAAGCCATGAGCAAGGTATTTAGGTAGTTTTTGGAAGGGGGTTTCAGCCATGTGGGGTATCTGAGCCATCAGGAGGGTATTTAGGTAGTTTTGAAGGGGTTTCTTGCATGGGGGTATCTGAAGCCATCAGCAAGGTATTTAGGTAGTTTTGAAGGGTTTCAGCCATGGGGGGTATCTCCAGCCATCAGCAAGGTATTTAGGTAGTTTTCTTGTATGGGCTTCAGCTCATGGGGGTATCTGAAGCCGATTCAGAAAGGGAATTAGGTAGCTTTTGGAAGGGCTTCAGCTCCATGGGGGTATTCTCGGAGCCATTCATGAGGTATTTAGGTAGTTTTTTTTTGTAGGTTTTCCAGCCATGGGGGGGTGAATTTGTAGCCTAGTGAGCAAGGTAGTTTCCCTAGGTGAGTTTTTGAAGGGGCTTTCAGTTCTATTGTGGCATCTCCCACGTAGCCAGTCGGTCATTATTTTAGTTTTTAGGGCATTCGCCTAGGGGGTGTCTGAAGCCATCAGGAGGGTATTTAGGTAGTTTTTGAAGGGGTTTCAGCCATGGGGGTATCTGAGCCATGAGGAGGGTATTTAGGTAGTTTTTGAAGGGGGTTTCAGCCATGTGGGGTATCTGAAGCCATCAGGGGGTATTTAGGTAGTTTTTGGAAGGGGTTTCAGCCAGGGGGTATCTGAAGCCATCAGCAGGGTATTTAGGTAGTTTTTGAAGGGTTTTCAGCCATGGGGGCATCTGAAGCCATCAGGAAGGTATTTAGGTAGTTTTTGAAGGGGTTTCAGCCATGGGGGGTATCTGAAGCCATCAGGAGGGTGTTTAGGTAGTTTTTGAAGGGGTTTCGCCATGGGGGTATCTGAAGCCATCAGGAGGGTATTTAGGTAGTTTTTTGAAGGGGTTTCAGCCGTAGGGGGTATCGAAGCCATCGGGAGGGTATTTAGGTAGTTTTGAAGGGGGTTTCAGCCATGTGGGGTATCTGAAGCCATCAGGAGAGAATTGTGTTTTGAAGGGGTTTCAGCCATGGGGTATCTGAGCCTAGAGGGTATTTAGGTAGTTTTGAAGGGGCTCAGCCATGGGGGGTATCAGAGCCAACAGCAAGGTATTTAGGTAGTTTTTGAAGGGGGTTTCAGCCATGGGGGTATCTGAAGCCATCAGGAGGGTATTTAGGTAGTTTTTGAAGGGGGTTTCAGCCATGGGGGGTATCTGAAGCCATCAGCAAGGTATTTAGGTAGTTTTTGAAGGGGGTTTCAGCCATGGGGGTATCTGAAGCCATCAGGAGGGTATTTAGGTAGTTTTTGAAGGGGTTTCAGCCATGGGGGTATCTGAAGCCATCAGCAGGGTATTTAGGTAGTTTTTGAAGGGGGTTTCAGCCATGGGGGGTGATCTGAAGCCATCAGCAAGGTATTTAGGTAGTTTTGAAGGGGGTTTCAGCCATGGGGGTATCTGAAGCCATCAGGAGGGTATTTAGGTAGTTTTTGAAGGGGTTTCAGCCATGGGGGTATCTGGAAGCCATGAGCAAGGTATTTAGGTAGTTTTTGAAGGGGTTTCAGCCATGGGGGTATCTGAAGCCATCAGGAGGGTATTTAGGTAGTTTTTGAAGGGGGTTTCAGCCATGTGGGGTATCTGAAGCCATCAGGAGGGTATTTAGGTAGTTTTTGAAGGGGGTTTCAGCCATGGGGGGTATCTGAAGCCATCAGGAGGGTATTTAGGTAGTTTTTGAAGGGGGTTTCAGCCATGGGGGGTATCTGAAGCCATCGGGAGGGTATTTAGGTAGTTTTTGAAGGGGGTTTCAGCCATGGGGGGTATCTGAAGCCATCAGGAGGGTATTTAGGTAGTTTTTGAAGGGGTTTCAGCCATGGGGGTATCTGAAGCCATCAGGAGGGTATTTAGGTAGTTTTGAAGGGGTTTCAGCCATGGGGGTATCTGGAGCCATCAGGAGGGTATTTGGGTAGTTTTTGAAGGGGTTTCAGCCATGGGGGGTATCTGAAGCCATCAGCAAGGTATTTAGGTAGTTTTTGAAGGGGGTTTCAGCCATGGGGGGTATCTGAAGCCATCGGGAGGGTATTTAGGTAGTTTTTGAAGGGGGTTTCAGCCATGGGGGGTATCTGAAGCCATCAGCAAGGTATTTAGGTAGTTTTTGAAGGGGGTTTCAGCCATGGGGGTATCTGAAGCCATCAGAGGGTATTTAGGTAGTTTTTGAAGGGGTTTCGGCTAGGGGAGCAATCTGAAGCCATCAGGAAGGTATTTAGGTAGTTTTTTAAGGGGATTTCAGCCATGGGGGTATCTGCAGCCATCAGGAAGGCATTTAGGTAGTTTTTGAACGAGATTTCGGCTATGGGGGTATTGATGGAGGTGGGGAAAGGATGTGGTGGAGTGAGACATTTAGGGTAGCCCGAAGGCCAGATGGTTGCAGTCGCGAAGCGACTGTAACCATCTGGTTTGAAAAAGAAATGTCTAGCGGGTTTCCAACCGCATATGAGGCGGTGAAGCAATGAGTACCAAAAAGACTTTATTAACAAATTAAACCCGAAAGAACTACAACCCGAAAAGTGCCAGTGGGGAGCATCACGAGGCAAAAATCTGAAAATATCGATGAATTAAGCATAAAAAATGGAAGTTGTCTGTTGGGCCCTAGCATAACGATCCATAAAAGAAGACAAATGGTCGAGGAATGTGTCGATGACCAAGGCACTTTCGGCGACAACTTGCAGCGCCTGATCCACTTCCAGCGGTCTGCTCAGACGAAGAAGGGTAAGTATGCACAGATCGAGTAATCTAAATTCCGGATACGAAGTCGAACTAAAAAAAATGCTTACTTGATATTGCTGTGTGTGGAGAGTGCGGCTCGTAGAAATACCGGTAGATTGGAGCCAGTCATTAACCGTCGTACTGGCCCATGTGCTTGGCATAACAGACTTGTCAACTCGATACTCAGGTAACGATCGGCGAGCTAGAGGATATAGATAATGCGATTAAACGTAGTTTAAGAAGGATAATGATTAGCAAATCGGAACGTAGACTTACCCCTAACAAAGCGGCGCATCTCTCGGCGGACCGAACCCTCGTACATTCGCCATTACGGCATCCGGCCAAGAAGTGCAAAAATTCGACAAAATCCTCACGCGTGCAGACACCTGAAGAAGCAGGTGTAATATAAATAACTTTTATGTACCTTCATCAGTCAACGTGAACGAGCGGCGATTCTCCGCTTTTTCTTGAAAGTCGGCCGTTAACAGCCCCTAGGATAAAATTAGTTATTTTGAAGAATATCATTACCCGGAAATAATCCGAATTGCTGCATAAAGCTTCCTCGTCCACGCTGGCCAGGATCAATCCGTCCGCATCCAGAAATTTGATGAGATTGTCTGTGCTTTCAACATCGGCCAATCGGCATCCAACAAAATCTTCGGGACCCCACACGGAGGATATCTAAAAATACATT